CCCCAAAACCCCAAAACCCCAAAACCCCAAAACCCCATATTAAACTCCGGCTATTGAAAGAATTAGCAATGTTTTTAACTTCATAGAAGAATGGATTGATTAATAAGATAGCAATTAGCTATTCGATAATTTATTATGACATAAATTTATTAGAGAGAATAAACTACTGCATTTACATCAACCCCGTTATTAATTTGGTCAATCATCTGATTTCTAAGAGTTCTAAGTGCAGCTCTAACATCGTATACTTCTTTTCTAGAAATTTCAACCAAAATAGGTATGAGCTCATTTAGAGCCGTGTCTTCAACATCATCAAACCAGCTTGTTATAAATATCCCATTATCTGGCTGGAGTTGGAAGTTCTCTGGAACATTATCAACTATCATCATTTTAGACATTTCTCTTCCTATCCTTGACAAGTCTTTCAAAAATATAGAGCCTCAAGGGAGAGCATGTTGTCTATAGAGCCTATATTTAATATATCCCTCAGGATCAATTTGATCTATAACCCAATCAGCATAATCTTGCATGGCTGCCGTGAAAATGACAATTTCGTAATATTGGCTCATCTCCTTCAAAAAATCTTCAGTGTTTGGTCTGATCAAGCACTTTCCTTCGTTCTCATTCTGAAAATAATGAACTAAAGTTTCATCAAGATCCAACACAAGGGTGTATTCATATCTCTCACCATCTATTGGGGATAAGAATGGGGCTCATACGCTTGGTAAAGCATCATCATAACCATCAGATCCAAGACCTGTGCCTCCTACTTTAGAGAGATAATGCTCTTCATTATTTTTCTGCATCTGTATAGCTGACCCAACTCCATCAAGAGCCTTAATAAGGTATTCTCTAGCAAGATTATAGTCATTAAAATCTAAGATATCAACGATCAACCAGAGGGTACTTTTTCAGTATGAAGAGAAATAACTTGATAATTCTTTGATGTCCTCTACACTATTAATGCTTTCATGCTTAAAAAATTTAGAGTGTTCAAATCTGCCTTTACATATTTTCCTGAGTCCTTCCTCAATAAGGTCATTAAATTTAATCAAAAATGTAAATATTTCATCCTTGTTCTTGAGTCTCTTCCTCTTCCTTTTACACAAGATTTCTTTGAACTTGGCCCCAATAGAGTGGTAGTCAAACTTCTTGCTATCTGATTGGAAGGAAGTAGTTGAGTTCTTCCAATTTTTCCCAGTTTGTTTATTTGCAAACGGGCTTCTCTCCTTGCTATTGTCCTCCTCAGTGTCACGCAATTTAGCTATTCATAAAGAAAGTAATTCTAGCTGGATTAAGAAACTCTGATAGATTCATAAGAAAATATTCTTCATTAGTGTCATAAATACTCCAGAATTCTCATTTTGTTGCAAATTTGAGAGATAAATCAGCGAAATGCTGCTTAATTCCAGAATTGATGATTTTATTAGGATCTTTTTATGCTCTTCATTCTTGAAGAACCTATCAAAATAATAGATAAATGCTCAGTCTTGACTCAGCTCCCACCAATCTTCACAAAGTCTGCCGACATTGGCTATATTTTAAGATCAAATAGTACCTGAGCCTGTTGACAATTTTTGTAAAATATTCCAGAGCTTTACCTCCACTCTTTCTATTTGAGAAGAAGATGCTTTAATATTCAAGCTATTTCTTCAGATTTCCAACAGAGAGGGTGTGGTCTGAAAGCTCATTAGTGAGGTCTTGGCTCAGCTCTGAGTTCGACTTTATTACTTTCTCTTTAATCCTATTCATTTTGTTGTGATACATTCTGTCTAATTTACCTGGTGACAAGAATATACTACTCACTGAGGAAGTAAGAGAGGTCGCTGAAACAGAAATATCTCGTGGAGTCGAGTCCACACTTGGGTTTAGATCAAGCTGTTGAGGAGGAACTTTCTTTAAAGATATCTGTTTAACTTTATTAAATGGATTGAGCTTAATTTCCTCATTGCGCGCAATTTTTCTTGGGATTATTTTCACAGTTGACAAGCACTCATCAGCCATTGGGAGTTCCTTATTAAGCTTATTATACATCTTAATAGTGTCCTCAGGCCCAGCACCATACTCTTCAAGTTGTTTCATCTGTTTATTTCCTAACAGGAGTCACAGTAGAGTATTTTGAAGTTGGAAACTCATATTCTACTTTCTTATCTTCATTACAATCATTCATATACTGACTTGTCCGCTTATTACTAAAATTAGTCTCTTTAGGAATCTTCATGAGCATCTTGCATGCTTTTACACTAGTCTTGATAGGAATTCGGTTCATATTTTGCATGTTCTCCTGATTATTAAACTCCTCAAAATCTTTAGACATTTTACTTATAAAATTTAAATATTTCAGCGTTAAAGAGCTCAAAGGGGTTTTGGGGTTTTGGGGTTTTGGGGTTTTGGGG